TTGCAAGTGGTGGAGCTGGGTGACAGAAGAAAGTCACTCTGGAGTAGTGACTTTGTTATAGCTTGCTCTTGGTTTCTGCTGTTCTTTCTACTTCATGGATCAAGGTGGTATGGGCAGCCTCTTCCATGTGCTCATGTTGCTATGACCTGAGCTTGGCCATGGCCCTCTAGACATGATGCTCCCATAGCAGGTAGCCAGCAGCCCAAACAAAGATTTGTTTCATAAGATGTTTCTGTATTGTTTTCAGAGAGGCAGAAATGAAGAACATAATGACATGAAATTAAGTGTCTTGAAACAAATTTATTTCAGAAAATCTAAATGGAAATTAAGTTTAAAAAACTGAATAATTTATTTCCAACATAGAGGTATCATAGCATAGGACAAATTTCTATTTATAGATCTTTTTTGTATACCAGAAAATAAGGGATAAATTATGATGCGATCTTAAGAACTTTACATTTGAAATAAAATATAATCCACCTTTTCATGAAGTACTTATGAGTATATAACTTCAATCCACCTTTCCATCATATACTTATGAGTATATAACTTCTTTTGAGTATATAACTTTTCTTAAAGCAGAAAAATATCAAATCTGAGTTTTCAAAACACATAATAAATGTGTGTTCCTCCAGAACTCCCTAGCTCTGAAGGCCAGGTTTTTGGTATTATTCTCTTTAGAGAGCAGAAAATAAACCTACATTCATCAATGCTGAATTATCTCTGAATTGTGTCTGCTACATTCTCAAAGAAACCTAGTGATGTGTATACTCGGGGCAAATTGACCAAGGGAAGCATTTTTGAAAAGACTGAATTTTAGATGGGAAGCCAATTCTCAAATAGATTGGAAGACTTTTGATGTTCCAGGGTAGAACTTTCTTCACTTGTCGACTTATCTCACAAAAGAGTTCTGTAAATAAGCTAATATAAAGACTTGCTTAAATAATTAATATATCTAATAACAATAAGCACACTGTTAAGGTATCTTCAACCATTGCTTCATTTTTAAAACTGATTTTTATTGAGTTCTGCATTTTTCTCTGCTCCCCTCCCTGCCTGTCCCCTCCCCTTCAATCCTTTCCCAAAGTCCCCAAGCTCCCAATTTACTCAGGAGATCTTGTCTTTTTCTGCTACCAATGTAGGTTAGATATATGTATGTCTATCTTAGGGTCCTCATTGTTATATAGGTTCTCTGGGATTGTGATTTTGGGCTGGTTTACTTTGCTTTATGTATAAAAATCATTTATGAGTGAGTACATGTGATAATTGACCTTCTGAATCTGGGTTATCTCAATCAAAATGATGCTTTCTAGCTCCATCCATTTTCTTGCAAAATTATTTTTTTCTGCTGTGTAGTACTCCATTGTGTAAATGCACCACATTTTTCCTTATCCATTCTTCAGTCGAGGGGCATTCAGTTTGTTTCCAGGTTCTGGCTATGACAAACAATACTGCTCTGAACAACCACTGCTTCTTTAGTGATACTTCCAAGTCTTTTTAGCACTCAGGTGACAGTCAGTGTGTTTATGACAGGGCTCTCCTCCCATCCTCCTTGAAGTAATCTCAGGACTTCACAGTGGATTTTGTGATTTTTAAGTTTCAAACCAAATTCAAATCCCCACTGTTTTAAAACTCCCCACCCCCAAACCCATGGCTGATTCTCCTTTATTCCATGCACTTCAAACACACAGCTTTTCACAGGGTACCTACTGCGCTGTCCAGAATGCTTCTCAGAGTCAATACTAATAAAAGAGAGTGCTAAAGACTTCCTGAAACCACAAGGATTCTTCATGGTCTCTACATAATCTTAAGAGAGTGTTCCCTCCTCAAAGAATAAACTGTCCCACTACTAAACTTTTTCTAAAAATCAAACATATTGTGTATGGATCAGGTTTGCCGGAATAATCTGAACCTGTCAAATTAAAGTCACAAAATTTATACTGATTTATTCTTCAACAACTGTAGACAATTTTGTGCTTGATAATACTGATTCCCATATACATAGTTAGTTAGACAGAAGTTTCTGTGATCTTGTGATACCTTATAATTAAATTTTAATATTTGTATGACTTTGCTATTTTCTTCCTAATTCTTTTTGAGTGTCATTTTGTTTATATATCACAATATTTCAAAGCTTGTTCAACTATTATATGTTTTATATCCATATGAGTGTGTGTGTGTTTAATTGCTACATTAAGTTTTTCTCTGGTGAACTGAGTGCATTTGTCTATTCACCCTAATGGGACAATGAAGACACAGACCAAATTAACAATTTCATCTAAGCAAAATTTTCTGAGATAGTGAGATTATTGGACTCATCTTGAGCATATATTACTTATAGAGATGTTTAGGTGATCCTCAAACAGCTGCATTACTGCAAAGTCCCTTCCCATCATGGATGGTGACTCATGGAATCTACATCTTAAAATATCACTTTCAGTTAGCCTTTCCCTTAATATGCGCTCTATTCTCTGTCATAGTTAGAATTGCTGTTGCTATGACAAACCTCCATGATGGATAGCAAGTTGGGTGAGAAAGGGCTTATTACTTCCACAGCACTGTTCATCACTGAAGGAAGTCAGGACAGCAACTCAAACATGGCAGGATCCTGGATGCAGGAGCTGATACAGAGGCTATAGGATGTGGGGAGTACTACTTACTGTCATGTTTCCTATGGCTTTCTCAACATGCTTTCCTATAGAATCTAGGACTTCCAATCGAGAGATGATACCACCTCTAAAGGAGTGGGCCCTTCCCCATGAATCACTAACTAGGAAAACGCCTTAGAGCCAGATCTTATGAAGCCTTTTTCTCAATTAAGGTTCCCTCCTTTCAAATAAGTCTAGTTTGTGTGTCAAGTTGACCTAAGACTTGTCAGCACAGTCTCCCAAGATAACCTGAAACTGGGATGGGATTAAGAAGTGATGACTAGAGTCCCAGAAGAGATTCCATGAGCTTACCCTCCCTCCTTCTGTTAGATGGTGCTAACTGACCTTTTACAGATTCACATAGACTTAGCTATCTCACATTATTCTAAAGCTCATAATATAACAGTGATTTGCAGATACTATACATCAAACTAGAGTACTGATATCTGGGAATCTTTGTATTTTAAAAATATAGAGAACATTACTATAATTTTTTTCCAAAAAAAGGAGCCATAGCCTATGAAAGCAGAAATCTTGTTAATAAAGTTATGTGCTTCTCTTCCTGTAGAAGGTTTTGTTCTCTGAGGATGTCACTAAAGGAATTAACCAGAAAACTTTTCCTGTTCCTCTCTAGAACAATGACTACACATTTTCTCATGGAAACTGAAACACCCTAATAAACTATCTTTGGAAAATTCTGGTGAGTAGAAAGTCCACAAAACAATCTTATGAGCATTTTATTTTCAAACTCTGATATTTGGGTCTCAAGATTGCTCAGTGGGTAAGAATATGCATTGTGTAATTATGAGGCCCTGATACTAAGATCTCCAGCATGGATGTGAGAGTCCAGGCATGCCTTTTTGTGACTATGATCCCAAAACTGTGAAAGAAAGGTGGAGACCAGAAGGTTTCTTGGATTCCTAGTGATTCCTGGCCACCAGTGTAGCTGGAAAAACTGAGCTCCAGGTTCACTGAGAAATGTAATGGAGAAGAGAAGAAAGAAAAGATGGTTTAATTAATTTAAATATCCATAATTTAGTAAGGAGCTAATTCACAATAGTGTGCCTTGACTTCATACTGGTCATAGTGTGACCAAAGAAGCAATGTTGTAACCCTGTTCCTTCAACAGTTCAGTTGAATATGAGTCTTGTGATGACAGTTTATGGAATAACAATTCACAGTGAACAGCAATTTTGTTGCCAAGAGCTTGCCAAGCAATTGTGACTTTCTTTATAAATAATTGAGGTCAGCACTGGTTCTTTTTTTCTTTTTCTTTTTTCTTTTTTGTCTTTACAACTTTATTTTAGAAATAAGGAATGATAACTTTTGTTAACATTTCCCAATATACACAATTTAGATATTTATACATTCAATTATCTTTATGGTAAAAGTCATCAATAATTCACATCAGACATCAGTTTACAATTTAAGTGGTCACAGTCAAGAAATGGAACCCCTTCCAGGGAACAAATACCTGTCACTCATTGCAAAAGTCTCTATGATGTACACAGTCTCTATGATGCACACAGTATGATGTACACAGTCTCTATGATGTACTGTCTCTATGATGCACACAGTCTTTATGATGCACACAGTCTCTATGATGTGCACAGTCTCTATGATGTACACAGTCTCTATGATGTACACAGTCTCTATGTACACAGTCTCTATGTACACAGTCTCTATGATGCACACAGTCTCTATGATGTACACAGTATGATGTACACAGTCCCTATAATGTACGGCACTAGTGCCTGTTATTCAGTAACATGGCGACTCCAGGTTTTTCTGTTACAGAAGGCAATGCCTTTTTCTTGGGCAGTGAAAATTAGAATACAATTGATGTTTTTTCTTGAACCTACTTGTCTGTCCACAAAGACAGCATTTATCTATGCTTTGTCTTAAATATTTCACTCACAGGCTCACACACTGCCAATGAAAAAGACATATCTCCCTGAGAAACATCTGAAGGGACCTTTTTTCTATAGACTGACTGTGTGAAGTCACTCCTCGTCAGATTAGTAGTAGTGGGTAACTGGTAGGAAGCTCTTCAGACACTCAAGACACTTCCTGCCCACAGCCGCCAGGCTAAACATCCATCCTCCATCTGCACTACTTATAGTCCAGGGCCTCAGTCCATAGACAAGGAATTAACTACTGTAAAGGAAATTATGGCCTCGCGTCTCCTTTATGTTGTAGAGGGAAACAACCACCAGTGTTCCATACAGAATGATAACTCAGGAAAGATTCCCACGCCAGTTAAGGCAGCCCTAAGTTTTATTAGTTGTGATTTGTTTTAATACTAAGGGAATAAAATAAGTACAGAAAATAAACCAAATGCTAGTCCACGGTCTACATGGTCTTCATCTTGGCCATGAGATCTTCCAAGCTTTCACCAGAATCTTCCACTGTTACCTCAGAAACAACAGAACCCTCTTGTTTCTTTGGGACTGTGTATCCCACTGTAATTCCTTCAGGTAAGGTGGGAATGGGACCGGAAGAGTTCTTCAGTTCCGCTTCTTGAAACTTCCGACACCAGCTCTATACCCCACTCATTGTCTTCATGGACTATCTCCTCCTCCTCCTTGGGTCCAGCCTCCTGTGTGGGCAGGGCCGCCGCCTTCTTTTCTATTCTTCTTGTTGCTCCCTGCAGTTTCTGTCATCACACTGAGGGTTTGGCATCATGGACATGGTAGGGAAAAAATCCTGCGTCGCATTGTATTCAAGGTAAAAACTGACAACGCCAAAATTTAACAGAAACTTCAATACGTTTTGAACCAAGATCCCTGCAACCACACCCATGGCGGTGGGGAGACGGGCTGAGCAGACACCTTCTCGTTTCGGGGTCTTTTCATCAATATTTGCAGCAACTACAAGTGGTGGCGCACACGCAAAACACGCCGACTCTCCGGGGATCATGAGCTGGGTGTGCCCAGAAACTGCATTTTCACTGACCCCGGATTCCATCCACCTCTGACCCAGTTCATTACAAGCTGTATTGATGGCCATCCGAGCGTCAAAGTTGTCCACACAGCTAAGAGCTAGGTCAACAGGCTTTCCGTCTTGTAAGCCACCATTACTTATTCTGCTCATTAAGTGCTCAAAGTGCTCCACCACGGTGGTGATATTGTAGCTGTGAACTTCAAATGCGACATCAGGGTCAATGTTCCTCAAGGTGTGTTCTGCGGCTTCAACTTTACTCAGTGCGGCTTGATGAGGCTGGAAGAAAAGTCGATTCATGTTGGCCAGTTCCACCTTGTCATAGTCAAAATGCAGTAACTTACCAATGCCACATCTTGTCAGTATTTCGGCAGTCACACTGACAACTCTGCTAACACCTACTATTGCTACAGCTTAAGTACGAATTTTCTCATAGTCACCAACAATCCCCATCCGCTTCAATGCCATCAGCCGGCTGTAGGGATTGGAGTCCACCACTTCCGAGCTCATCTTGTCGATGGGGGTCCGGCCGCCCACGCCCTGTCAGCTTCTTGTTCCAGCTCCTTAACCCACTCCACCGACTCGGTCATGGCTGGGCCCCCGGCAGCCGCCACCAGCCTGGGCCTCCGCCGCGGCCACAGCCCCACACTGCTCTGCTGGGCCCATGAAGTGCAGGTGGGCTAGGCACAGCCTTCCGGATCCCGACAGCCGGAAAAGCTGGTTCTTTTTTTCTAATCCTAATTTTAATTTCAATTTTAATTGTTGACAGTTACATGTGTAGTAACAATAATAACTCAATATTAACAATAAGTTCATCAGTTTATCATCTATGTATCTGTCTATGTATGTATGTATGTATGCATGTATCTATCTATCTATCTATCAATCATTTATCGATTTACCTATCTAAACTTCAGAATGGTAAAGACTAAGCCATAGCAGAGTTCAGGGAGTTTCAAAAGGCCTTAGAGACAGAAGCCAAAAAGCTCATAGGAATGCCAAAACTGTCTGTGGATACAATGTAATGAACCAGATGAGAGTCTGCTGGAGACGCTGTGGAAGGGCAGGTTGTTGCTGGGTCACAGGTTTGAGCCAAGCTTTGGGGTCAAGAAGAGCCAGGTCCATATGAGTGGTCAGGCACATGGATGATTGCCAGGTACAGACAGATGGAAAGGTGGATAGACAGAAGGTCAATTGAGAAAGCCACACAACAGCAGAAACAGAGCCAAGGCGAGCCCCAGGCACAATCAGATCTCTGCCTGTCAGGGACTTGATGCACGCAATGGATAGGGAGATGACAGTCCAGTGAGGCCTTCCCCATTTGAGTATTTTTGTGCTTCTCTTTTCGGGTTGCAGAAGTAAGGATCGCATCCTCTCCTTAGAGTGCTGCATCTGATCTTAAGACTGATCTGCCTGATATGATTTCAATACACACCTGTCCTCTGCTTCCAGTTAATATGATATTTATAGAAAAATCTCCCTTTCTCCTTCCACTAGTAAGGTGTTTATTACACCGTGCCTACTGCAGCGTGCTAGACAGATGGTGGTGTGCATACATATGTCCATCAGGGTGCAGAGTCATGCTAATTCTGCATTTGCACTCAAAAGAGAGTCTGCTACTTCTTGGAAAACAGTGTCTCTTGTCAAGACACAGCCTGAAAAGCCTGTATTTTGCTGCTTCCAAAGTACAGCAGAAACTATTACTTTGACCGATCAAGATACGGTTTAAAAGGAATGAGCAGTCTTGCCTACGAAAGGTATTGTGTAAAATACTAAGATTACAACTAACTTCTTCAGCTGATTTAATGTAGCTCCTACATCATGAGGAGAGAAAGGATCCTAAGACAGTCACATTGTGTGTCTCAACTCACCTTTGAACCATGAAAAGAGTGTTCTGTGGTGACGGCGAATTCAGGTGTTTGGGCAAAACATTAATCATTAGACTGAGTTGAGCTGTTCAGTCCCCACCTTATTGCAAACACTAAGTTCAGTTTTTGCTTCCACGAGCTCTGGCAATGTTTTCTGGAGATAACATTTTCCAGGGGACTACAGTAGAATAGATTATCCCCTCCTCTAAGTGTTAGTTAGCATAAATTAACTCTCTAATTGATATTACCATCTTTAGCATTTATCTTATATTTTATTATACCAATAATCTAAAAAGTTGCTTTCACAACTACACTTAAGATGCAAAATGGGAATTTGCATTTTGTTTCAGAATTGTAGTTAACTCCAAGCAGGGAAACAGTAAATCTCAAGACAAATTGTAGGATTTGAAATTTTAAGCACATTGGGTAAATCACCATACTGCAAGAGAATTAAAGGTATATGCACCTACAACTGGATTAGGCTTTGAGAAAGTAGATATCAATGCAAGATGAATGAAAACAGCAATTTCAGAACCAGAAATTAATAAGCAGCAGAATTGAGTCCTCAGTGAACACGAGGACTTCAGTCCATTCCATTTCACTTTTATTTCTAACATAAAATAGTCGTGAAAGGTACCAGGCGGTGGTGGCACACACCATTGATTTCAGTACTCTGGAAGCACAGATAGGTGGCTCTCTGTGAGTTCAAGGCCAGCCTTGAACAAGTTCCAGGTCAAGCTCCAAAGACACAGAGAAACCCTGTCTCTAAAAACAAAACAAAAACAAACAAACCAAAAGAAACCAAAAACAACAACCAAAACCAGACCTGAAAGGCGTTTTTAAGTATTTTGAAGGTGAAAAGCAAAGTTTTTCCCATAAAGGAATTGATTAGTGAGATCAGACAGTGGCTGACAGAAACGAGAGCTAAACTAATCAATATTTTTGTCACTGTTGTATGTTTGGCATCCCACATCTATATGAGAGAAGTAGGCAAAGGTTGCTAGCATCTTTACTTTCAATGGCCACTGAACCTGTCTTCAGTGTCTGCATGCCTGGATCTATCTCCTTAAAACAGGGAAGATAGCAAATGTCTGGACCTCAGAGAAGCCTCCCTGGACCACAGAATCACATCTTCCCATCATGATCTGACTTCACCTTCTCCCTGTTTGATTCCAATAAACTCTGGGTATCTTGTACAGTCTCTGAGGCATACACTTTGTGAAGCAAATCATTCGTAAGCAAGTGCCTGGAGGTTTAGTTCATTTCTTTTCCTTGACATTCATCAGAACCAATGCTTCTCATTTGGTTCAGTGTCAGATAACTGCTGAAGTACAGAATCTACCGTCCTCACCATTAGCTGCATGTTCTTCCCCAACCTTCCCACAGTGCCTCTGTTCCTCAGGAAAAGGAGACAGCAAAATGCATCACTCAGTACTAGCTTCTCAGATCTTTGTTTATTTCTTTTTCTCAGATGAGAAAAATGGAATGTAGAGAAGTTAACTATCCAGCTTTGGACTGATAGTGAGTAGTTAAAGAGGAGCCTACAGGAGAACCAGGTTTCTCAAGGAGAAACAAAGGACAAAAAGCGTTGAGTAATTCATTTATCCAAAGTCTTGTTGCCTCTAAATGACGGTCAAGATTCAATCCAACTTCATGTTGGAATATGAAAATTTAAAATTACAGACTAATAAATCTTAAATGATTCTGATACCTCATCAAAATTAATGAAAACATGAGCATGTTCTATTTTTAAGAAAAAACTTCAAAATATTGTGGTATGTTGCCCATAAACATCTTTTATTATCAGGGTGCTCCACCTTCCATCCAAGTCAAATCTTCCCAGAACAGTTGAAATGTACTACTGCTTGTTTGAATGAGTAACAGCTGGTCACTTCATAACCATATACTTCATGACCCCTCATACGCTTAAAGATCATTATTAAGTTACCCTTCAGCCTTCTAGGATGTGACAGACCCTATAAAAGAACCATCAGGCAGAGAAATCGTTAGAAGCACCACCAGACACCATCATTAAAGTCACCATCTGGTAGAACTGGGAATGTCAGCGAATAGAGGCAGTGTATTGATGGGCATGCTATGTTTATGCCTCTTAACTGGTCAGCAATGTTAATTATAATTACATCTTCATTGTAGGATTTTATGGCCTATGTGGACAAATGAACGTGCACTCGATTAACTAACTGCAGACTAAATGGAAAATGGTTCTCAGGCTAATGTTCCAAACGCTATTAGCACTTTCTTTGTTAACTAATATTCCCAAAACCAAGTGCCGAGCAAACTGACAAACTGGCTTTGTTTCCAAACGACTCAACCTCTTTTTGAGCTAAAACTAAATGATTTCATTATTTACCTGTTAAAAACAAGGAAATAGCTTTTATTTTCAGAGTTTCACTGTATCTTTTTTAATGTGGACGTTAAATTTGGAATTTTACAAAATATGTCAATATTTCCCATTGATAACTATTAGTTTGTTCAAAAATTATTGTTAATTAAAATGTTTATTTTTTAATAAACGTCATAAGCAAATAATAAGAATTTTGAAAGGTGAGTTTTGCTTCTTTTTAATTACTATTTTTACATTCATATGTAGATATAGATAGATGATAGATAGATGGATAGATAGATAGAGATATAAATTTAAAAATAACCTAATGAGTTCATTTACCTCTTATATGTGTTTAGGACTAACTGGAAAGGAGGTTTTTGATTTCTAAAACATATCTTTCCTTGAGCTGGAAGTTACATATATTCTAGAAATTATAATGGTTCATATATGTTTTTACTTCTATATCAATAAAGAACAAAACACATTTTAAATAAATTGTCTGAATAGAATATTCAGTTATTTTTGAGGGGCCTTATTCTATAAGAAGTACTTGGTAACAACTATTCTCATACTACATACACTGTTTTAAAAAGTCTAAGTAACCTAGGGTGACCCATAGTTCATTATACTTATTTATAGCCACCACATGAAATCCTTACATTTTTTTCTACTTCTTTTTTTATTATTCAGAAGCCTAGATATGCTTTCATGTGCATCCACATTGTAATTAATTATGTATGGATAAAAAATTATTTCTTTAGAGTAAAATATTTTATTATGCTAATTAGTGCATGAACAGTTTATAGTGTTAACTTTTGTTTGCATATTCCAGATTTACTTATAAAGACTCGGTATCAATTTTCAGTTAATGAGCACAACTTTTAAACTTGAAGAACAGTGTATTCTGAAACATACCAGAGAAAAAGGAAATCCAAGTGTTTCTGATTTGGTCATGCAAACGTACAGAGACAGTGACCAAGCCCATTTGGAATACATGTGTCTCACTGAAGAGCAAGCAATGGAGAGAAATAAGGAGAGTATAACCACAGCTACATCAGAGTTGGGTATATGATAGTATGTACACAGGAACACATTTAGAAGGTAATCTATTAAGGACTCTATAGCCTTAAGAAGCAATGCAACAACCATAGAAAAAAGTATCCCTCATTTTCTTTTACGGTTAGTCTCATTCATTTTCCTGAATTCAAAAGTGTAAATTACTATCTGCATTTGAATATGAAAAAGGAATTAGAAAATACAAATAGCAACTCTGCTGTTTTATTTTCAATTTCCTATACTCTATCCCCACA